CTTTGGCTCTCTTAATCTAATTCAAATCGACAATACTCTTTTTGGACGGTAAAATCAATTCACAGTGGAAGCATTGGCATCAGTCTTTGATAAAGGACAAATTCTTTCCCGAGAATCAGGTTTTCATCCTTACACGTCACTCTTGGACTTGTGGATACGACGAGTCAGAGATTCAATGGCCAACCATCGGACTGGAATCCGTGTCTGAAAACAAGGGAAAACATCTTTGCGTTAAAATCGGGCCACTAGTTGCAAACCAATCGTGACATTCTCAGGGAAAAAAGGAAGTCTGCAGAGTCACTTTGTAGTGAACGGCCGTGACACAATTTTTACAATGTTTATTTGTAGAAACGCTTACATTTTCACCCACACTATGTAATTTTCCGTCAGGACACAAATCTTGAGTAATACCTCAAACCAATAAAAAGCTAAGTTTTCTCTTTTCCAATACAAACTCGACGCTGAATCAACCGACGTATTGTCACGGGGCTGATTAGGCGGAGCTGCGTAGTGGTGGGACCGTTACACGTTTTCGCACTGGCACGTCCAAACAGTTGCAAGCAATGAAATCCGCAGTAGTGAAATGAACGACAGAAACAATTACTAATTTCTTATCAGAAATGTGATTGCCTGTTGGTAAAGTTTATGCTCATTTTTTGTCGAACTGTAAGTATTTATTGGCCAAAATGAATTGTAATTGAACTGTTAATTTCAAAATCCTTAATTCATGTATTAAGGATTATACTTTAAGCATGAAGTGACACATCGAAGTGGTGTCACATTTTATGAATGAGAAATCAAATAAGAAACCAATGTACAATTTTTCGGATCTGTTTTTCGGTAACAAATCACATTTACTGATTTTTTTTTATTCGTTTGTTTTAGTTTTACCGATGATTTCTGAACATAGATATCCTCCCCTCTGGAAAGGCCAAAGTCAGAGACTTTGGCGGTTAAGTCTTCAGCAAGAAGAATGTTCCTTGCAGCCAAGTCACGGTGGATGATCTGAAGGGAAATGTAACTGACAATTATTCCTACATTTATCAGGTGTATCAAATGGCAGTCGTTGACTTGGGAGCGTTAACCTCAGACAGAATGCATCATTGTGGTTTTCCCAAACATAAACATAAACATATATATCGAATAAGGAAATGAAATAAATTGTTTACCTAATGATGGAACTGCTACATTAGATTAACCGAAAATATAAGCTCTTAACAAACCCCTGTCTTAGAAAGATGGTCCATTCCTTTTGCTACATCTGCACCAAATGTCAATAAGTTTAAAGAAGTCAAAGGAGATGTTCCGGTGCTCTTCTCCTTTCCTTGTTCCTGCTTTGGGCGGTTGCCCCTCAAGTAATCTCGGAGGTTGCCATTAGGAAGATATTCAAGTGCGACGTGCAAAATCCCTTTAAAACACACAACAGTGTTAATTCAGTTCATGCACGAGTTTTTATGACCTGCCAGGACACCCCTGGTAATGCTTGATGCAAAACAATACACTCCAAAATTGTAATGATCACAATAGCTGGCTGAACTGAGAGGCGCGGCATGCATGCTAGGTTTTCTGTAATATCTGTGTCTAAATACTGGGCTTTGCCCCTCAAGGTGTGTGAAGCTGATATAGGTTTTGCTTAAATTAAAAACCGACACGGTAGAATCACAGCATTTGAAACTAAAGCATCGAAGAGAAAGCATTTGAAGTAAAGATCAAGATGTGTGGTTGTCTCAATATCAGTAATCGCCTGAGGTCACGTTTTTTATAGAAATTGATATTAAATGTACGTTAAAAAGGGGGAATGCAACCAGTTTTGATCTCGTAAAGGATAGGCCTATACTGTTTTTCTGTTATCGCGGACTGCAAACCACTATTTAGTTGTCTTGTTACAAAGAGTTGCTGACGATATACCTTCATGATAGCACGCCCCCAAGAGAGAAACAATGTTAGGATGAGGCTTGATGTTTGCCATTGTCTGCATTTCCTCCTTGAAATCCTTCACAGCAGAATCAGAGGCGCCATCTTAAAAGACCATATCACAAAAAACAATGAGATCATCACAGACAGTTATTTTTATTAAAAACTATTGGCCCTTTTAACAATCAACATATGAAAGCATATCTTATTACACAGTTTTTCTACAGTATTAATTTTATCCTTTTAAGGATAATTTAACACCACAGTCTTTGTACTATACAACTGGTGTTACCTTTTAGTGTTTTGATAGCTGCCTTGGTGACTTCGCCTTTGACCCGAACGCCTCCTGCCCGTACTTCACCAAAGTTGCCCTTGCCAAGAACTACGTCCTCAATGACCAAATTCTTCCATTTGATATCCATTTTTGGCATCCACGAAGAGAGGTCCGTTTCCTCGTAAATAACACTGACCCTGTTTTCTACATTAATTCCTGCAGGTTTGGTGGTCTTTGGCAGAAAGGATTCGAATAAATACAGTCTTTGCAAAGGAGTAATTGCATAACGTACATTGGTAAGGATAAATACGCCGCCTTATCAGTCTGACAGATTATCCTAAATTTCATCATTTCAGAAATCACTAAGCATGCCAGTGCGAGAATCGTTGAAGATTCCATCGTATGACGTTTGGTCTGAGTCTCACAGTGAGCTAAGTTCGAAAAGAATTTGACAATACGATTGCCAGATGTGTAAGTTTTCTTAGGCATTAGGCCTATGGTTTGATTTATCGGGGGAATATATCTTTGCATTAGGCATTGCCCCAGCATGAATTATAACGGTCACTCACCAATTCCATGGTTCCAGTCACCAGGGAACTATTCAAGGTATTTTCCCTACTTCGTTTTCTCCACATCACACACGTGATAACGATAGTCAATCCTAAGACGAGCACAATCGCACCCAGCACACCAGCTGCTATTCTTGCTTTATTGCAACTTGGTGTTTGGAGGATGGCCTCTGGAGGTTTTACTGAATAAAACAAACGCCATTGCTTTCAAATTGCATTTAGAATCTCAATCTCTCTAGTTTTAACAATACAAACCTTTTCCAAATATCACCTACCAGTAACTGTCAGTGGCTCTGAGTACGCGACACAGACTTCCTGCAGAAAAAATTAACCAAGAAAGTGCCTTAAATTGACCAATAAATCAATTTGTTTGAATTTATTCGTTTGAAGATGTCACTTTACAGTTGATCTAGGACCTTGTGTTCAAACATACTGCGTACAAACATACACTCCCAGTTCGTGCACGAGGCCAAACGATAGTAACATTTATATTGTCATGAAGCAACTCACCGTTTCGCTGCCTTTGCCTACTGATCCTAACCTGATGTTGTAGACAGCACCTCTCTCTAGAGGTGCATTCCAGTAGCCACCGTACAACTTAGAATCTCCGACTACAAACATCTCTGGGAGCTTATTCTTGAGAAATTTGGCCGTAATGTACCCGCTAGCTGGGTCCTCGTAACTTCCTGGAACGAGGAATTCCGTCTTGTTGACAGACAGAACACCAAGCCTCTTTACGTGAATAACATGCGATCTGAATACAATGTGACATAGGACAATTTAAAAAGTGGAGTGTAATCTGTGGTGCATAAAGCAAAAGCTTCGATAGCCTTTTCTCAAAATGTTATTTTTGAGTTGTAAAAAGCAGTATTCAAATCAAACACTCGTGCTTTTATTTGCTGCAAGGGATAAAGCAATGATCTCTATTTGTTGGCCATACAGTTACACAATAGCCCATATCTTGGCAAACTTCATTCTTAAAACTATATGTTCTGTCTTTAATAAAGACTATTTGAAAAGATATAATTGTTAACTATCGCATATTTCAGTGTCTTTCTGTTCCTTACTCAATGAACTCTTCAGACTGCCGGGCTATAAAAGTAATCGTTACTGTCGTATTTGTGGTTTCGCCTTGATGGAATGCAGATTGACCTGTTGAAATGAAAATAGTCAAAACACTTTCTTAAACAATACCTCATTCATCATCTTTTTGCTACATGCCATTTTATTCTTTGTACAAGTGCATCTCTGCTGGTAATCCTCTTGTTAAATGCACAATTGGGGTATAAATATCTTTGCTTACATCAAGCGGAAAAACAAAGTACCTGCTTCCAGTGTCATTGTGGTTACAGTCTGACTGTAGGGTCCAGGCCCAACATTGTTCCTTGCAGCAACTCGGAAACTGTAACTGGTGAAGGGGAGGAGTTCATTTACTGTGACTTGAGCTGTTCCTTGGTCAGCAGTACCCGATCGATTATTCAGCTGGTAATCGTATCCTAGGATGGTACCACCTCGGTCTCCACACGATGGAGGGCTCCAGGTGAAAGTGAGGCTGCGTGGGCAAGCGGAAGCGACTCTCACCATGGTGGGTGGTCCAGTCGGTGCTTCAAAATAAAATAAATTCCAAAGAAAGTTTTATCTACAAAAGGAAATATTTTACGCAGAACATCTTAAACACACTCAGTCTTACTAACAAGTGTTTAAGCCAGTTGTGATTGTTAATTGGGCCATAAGAATCACTGAAAGATGGAAATTTGATTGAAGATATCTGGGTTAATCTGTTGATCCCGTCTAAAATCAGTTGTCATACCCACTGAGTCAGTTTTGATGCGTGCTCTTGTCATAAGTTGATAACCAGCGTTGACACGAGCCTGGATTTGTACACTGTACTCTGAGTTTGGTATCAGTGCAGATATGGTAGTCTGGTTCTCCTGACAAATGCAGTGCTGATTGTACATCATCGGGGTGATGGGTTCGCAGCCATCTCTATTACTAAGTGCATAGTCAACGTTGTAACTAACTGCACAGGACACTTGAGACCAGCCGACTGTGACTCTACTGGGAGTTGCTGTTGTCGTCACTGAAGGAACTATTGTTAAATGAAAAACAACAGATAGATCAACTTCAACGGTTCATTTAGCCAGAAACTTTGAATAAAACAGCTTACTGTAAATAGGACATTTGTACATGAAGATTTAATGTTTATTACAGCAAGAGTGAAGTAATTGGGCACAGTCTTTTTATGAAATGTGTGAGCTAATTTTTAATCTTTAAGGAGAGCATATCAACGACAGTTCTCTTTACGCTTATACTGAAGACTATTATAAGCAAACGTACTTGAAATAGACGCCCCCTGCACCTCAACTTCGGCCAGGTGAAGACATTTATCTTGGCCTGCAGACAATTGCACACTGACGTATTGAGCGGAGACTACCGGATCTACAATGAAATCAATGACTGCTCCTTTGGTAGCTTGACTCGAGGGGACTGATCCTATCCTTGTGTTCTGTGAGAAATCTGATGGGTCCAAACCGGCTCGTACTACCGCACCTGCCAATCTACCCCCTGCATTAGCAATAAGAAAAAGAAGTTCCAAAAGTGAACTTTACATCCTTATTGCAAGGGTTATTTATGGAGACCAAAGCAAAAAAAGTAAAAAAAGGAGTGTAATATAATAAACATAACGTTAAGTTGAAATATTGGAAGATATTGGAACAAGGTATCGACAGAATAATTTCATTTTGAAGGAGTAAACGTTTGAAATAAAAAAAAAGTTTTTCAAAAAACGCTTCCTAAATTTCACGACTTACGTCAGTAATTCGCAGACGTAGGCCTAATTGCCTGACACATTTTACTGTTGCTGTCTCATAATGTCATGCCTCCTCAGGTTTCTGAGTGTACGAATGGCTGAATATTTTCCCAAAACATGACATTGTGTAAGTGGAGTACGAAGTCATAGATTCAGGGAAGGGACTTGACAGAAAAAAGGGAAAAACATTTCGTTTTAGAAACGCATTTAGAAACAGCTTATTTTGGAACCTTTTGAGAAAGTCAAACAGTTTGCCAATTCATCCTTACGACCATGATGCTTGTTTTTAAATGAAAACAACGCGAGGTTTTTTTTTTTGGTCATGATCTCTTAATCAAATCGTTATATTATGTGCCAACAGTTCTAAGAAGCCACTAACAATTCTAAGAAGTAACGAAAACCACTTTATAGTCTATTTAAATATTCGGACTGAGGTAAATGAAAAGGCCGGGGTAGCATTTCAAGATTTCCGTCAATGAACAGAGAGGAATGAATGGAAACTTCACTATGGTTGTGGTGTTCACCTCGAAATGACCCAAAGAGGGTCCATTGTTTTTAGCTAGGTTACAAACTAATTAAAATAAGTGGTACTTTTCTAAGCCACCATAAACACCAATACATTTCTGTAATTCTTGCTAAACAGAAAGCACACTGGTCACAAAACAATGAAGAAAGAAGATTTCTGAAAATCTTACCACCGTAGTCTCGTCTGTTGACTATAGTGATTTTCGTCAAGCAGTAGATTGCCTCAAGGTCTACCTTCCACCAATGGTCTCTCAAACACCCTGATGAAAATGACGTTTCGGGTACTGTTAGGTCATAAATGTGTTCAGGTCTATATCTACATTTGTCCTAAGATCCCTTGTGTACGGCGTCAGCTTTGGTGACTGCCAGAGTCACGTCATATTTAGCATCCATATTTATTGAAAGCAGTTTTTATATTGGATACGACTTGAAATTAAGAAAGATGATAGATGAATGATTTTTGTGGGATATACCATTGAAGATGGTAGTGGTTTCAAAGGAGAATTATGTGAATAAGTTAGAAAGGACTTGTCGACCATTAGGCATGACACTGGCTGCAGGAACAGATGCAGAAACGCTTACCTGTGTGTGAAAACGTCTTTCGATCTCCGTCTACTGCCCTACCAGCTTCATAAGAGTTCATATAGCTTGTGCTCTGACTTGCTGGCTTGCCAACGATATTGAGGGCCAGTCCTAACATGATATTTGACGTAATTATTTGGCATCGCACAATATTCATGTAATCTTCATTTGTTCTAAGGTCTGATCAGAAAGCAAACTTCAGAGGAGTCAATAAAGTCACGAATTCACTCTGGAAGAGTTATTCAATTATGAACAGCTTTTATACGTCAAACAATTGCTTCTTTCCATTTCAATCTTTTTCTATCTAAAAAGTACACACACATTTATCCAAAATACCTCGGCTATACCAAATAATCTATGTACCAATTAACCAATTACTGTCTAGTCATAATTGACGCACGGTTGAAAAGAAAGAAAGAAAAACACAAAACGAACAAACAAACAAACAAATAAAAAAAACCCACCACAATTCAGCTAGTGTATCCACACCCCAAATCAGTGTTGAACATTTAAACTTTCAGTTTAGCTGGAACAAATTTCATTCCAAAACGACCCTCTGCAATGCACCTTGAAACTGTCTGTTCTTGTTCATAAAGTCTATAATAATTGCCACACAGGCAATTCACCAGAGCATTCAGTTCAAACACATTTTTGTAAAGTCTGAAATATGGTTATTATCAAGCTTACATGATCCAAGAAAAATGATGCAGCACTTATAAGGTTTTGTGACGACGTAATGGGATCCTTTACTTCAGTTCGTTTTTCGTTGATCAACAAACGATTTGTCATCGAGGACCAAAAGAACCATTTGATCTCCCATAATAATTTCAGACTAAAAGTTATTTATTTCACAGTGGAGGTAACTTGCAAATTTCGGTGTTACAATGTGACAAAAAGTGGATTATAGAAGTCAGCCGTGTAAAACTAATAAGAATATGAGCAGGAAATTTTTCAGGAAAACTGACAAGTTTGCTTAGAACAAACAGAAATGATCCTATTTCAGGGGTTTTTCATTTCGGTTCTCTAGTTTTTACCTCCAGGCAGAATGATGAAAACCAACAGAAACACTGAAGTGCTTGGACGATAACTCAGTGAGGGTTCCATGACGTCTTTCGGTCTTCAGTAAGGTTGATAGTATCGACAAAGCCGTTATTGGATCCCGAAGGGTTCTCTCCAAGTCGCTATGTTCCGTACATGTAATAATTTCCTGGCAGAAACGTGGATACCAGTCCCCTTCAAAGAGTTGCTGGTATCGTTGAATATCGACCGGGCTTGAAGTCAACTTCCTTGTCTGTACATGCCAGCCACAAGACGCGTGAATGCCTGATGACAGCAGCATTTTAAAAGTATGAATGTTGATACAAAAGGTCATTTCATGTGTTCCACGAAAGCTTAAGGGATGTGCTATATCCTGTTGACAAAATGTGCGTGCACTCTGCTATTGCGGTACGCGGTAACTATGACGTACGCATAATGGTTAGTTCTCGTGCATGCATTTTTAATTGGTTCTCAATCTGTGCATCCATCCCATGCATTTTTGTCTTCTACGTAGGTGATATAATGATATAACTGCATTTTCAAAAAATTCCTTCCTTTATAAAAGTTTGTTGTCCCACCAGTGTACAAGACGAATTTACACACATTTTGACGATTTGTGTTTTGGAATATAAAGCCTAACTTCTTACATTTTTACCGTAATTGTACGCAGGGCATATGACCTTCTTGAAACTATGTTACTCATGATAATGTCAGCATGTATAAAATTATACCTTTGCCATTTGAGAACTTTTTCAAGCTAAATTAATGTAGCAGTTATGTACCTTTCCAGTTTAACTCCTGCACCCTTCAGTTTACAGGCATCTTTACTAATGGTTTGCGCAAACCTCACCCCCAAAAAGAACCATTTTTGCTTGTGTACAATATATAAACAAATAACCAATTAAAAGCAGTGTCATGCAGCAGTCAGTGATGACAGCAAAATCAAGTCTTCCATAGCGAATATCACAGGGATGGCAGTGGTGTAAAATATGTGCTTGAAATTGGTGCGATGGGGAGGGGGGGTGATTCGTCTGGCCATGGACATTTGAAAAGCGGAGGGGTGAACTGTACCATTATATAGGGGACGATGTTCATGATACACATGTACATAATCTGTAACAAATTCATGCAGACTCTTACATCAGAATGATGGATATTAATGGCTTTATAAAATTGTTTCCCCTTTTTAGTGATGTTACGAACATGTAGTAATTGGGGATGATTTAATAACCCATGCCCCCCCCCTCAAGAAGTGGGGATATGATTATACCCCCATCCCCCAGGATTTACGCCCCACGAGTGATGCACAAGTCATAGAAATATCTCTTTGTAACTTCTTACTTCAGGGCAGTCTGTTCTGTGAAAGGCCTCAGTGGTTTCAAAGAATCTCAATCATGTTGGTAGTAAAGAATACTGATCTTGGAATGAAAAAATCGCCAACCAGCAAGGTTTTTGGTCACAGAGATTGAAGCTGTAAGCTGACATTAATGTCCTAGTCATTAATTTGGCGTTTTACGCAAAAATTCGAGGGAATTGGACTTCCAACAAAAGATCTGGGAAAGTGATTTCTTGCAGCTACAGCGCCCTTTCAAGATAATGTATAGAAGACCTAATTTTTCAGCAATATTTGGATATATCTGTTTTAAATTCAACTCATATAAAAGACAATTGTCCCAACTATGCATATAAATAGTACCGGTAATATTCTAGAACCTGACTTCGTTTCAAGTCTATTTCTTTTCTTCAAATGAAATGGAAAGTATTACGATCTAAGATTTATACTCCGAAGGTAGTGTTTTACTTTTGTTCTAAAGAGAACATAACTTTACGAGAGGATGAGACTTCTGGGCTCATCTGATCCCTAATCAATCATGCAGCAATAAGCGCTTTCTTTAACTAACAAAAACAATGCTGAAATTCACTTAGTAGTTTCTAGTTGTCTAATACGGTATCGTACATTTAAACTGTCTGCCCGTTCTTTTTCAATTTGATTTATGTCCTGTCTGTTTCACTGTCGGCCTATACGCTAGGCCACTTGATATGGCTCTTGTATGGAATTCCGTATCTGCCGTCGCCCGTCGTCCATCGCATTTTGCTTTTTGTTGTGTCCCAATTCTGCCATTTACCAGTTCCAAACGTGCCATTTTCCGTCATTCGTCGCCCATCGTGCGTCGCCCGTCGTGCGTCGCCCGTCGTGCGTCGCGCGTCGTGCGTCGTCAGTCGTGCGTCGTGCATCGCCCATCAAATGGGTTGCATAGGACCTGCAAAAGCCAGGGTTTAACAAATGACAATGTGATGATTCCATTCACTTCTAAAGATCTTTTCCGAATAAGGC